TTTGAAACACAATTGTGATAAGAGCATCATCTCGTTGTTTCCTGGAATTTCGCGTAAAAAAGATGCGAAAAGAAACGCGGAAGAAGCGACTCGACTTTTGCCGAGCGACGAACTCTTGTCACTCCTCGCGAGGCGGATCCGCGATAGACAAGCTCTGCGTATCGTCTCGGCTCCGTAAATAAGCAACAAAAGACGCGGATTTATTAAACACTGGGGATTGGCGATGACCGCCGCGGCGGCGGATATATCTCGGCTGGGCCCCGGGGATAATAAATTACGCTCGACACAAACGGACCACTATCACGGGCAGACACGTTCGTGCCACGTCGCCCTTATCTCATCGAAGTTACAATAATCACACTCTCTTCGGCCGGCTCCACGCTGACGCACGCGTCTGACTGTGCGTACATGGATGGAAAAAGATCGAAAGCGATCCAGAGACAAAACGACGCCGGTTCCGCGCCGCCGCGACGCTCGCTGCGCCGCGTTTCATAAATAAGAAGATCTCGGTCGTTGAATATCCGATCGGCAGACGTGGAACTTCCACGATTCCCACGAATCACGATTAATAAGGCTGCGAATTTTTATGTATGTAAATCTCTGGGGGTCTCGTTTTGACGCGAAGATACAGAATCTCAGGTGAAAACTTGCTTTTTTATATTAAAAATTACAACAAGTGTATTCTGCATCGCTCTAATCCGTTCTAATAATTCGTGTCTTTATGGGCGTGAAATTCAAACGGAGATTTATTTCGTTCTTTCGTTCCCCGAACATTAGTCTTTGAATAATAATTTTAAATAGGAATCGATAAATTGAATTGGCTGGAGTTGAAAGAGGCTGAATGTTTTGAAGAAATTTGAAAAAAATCAGAGAAAGAGAAAGTAAAACAGTTTGAAATTGGTCGCTGAAGAGGAAATTTCGAAGCAGTTGCAAGACGAAGTAGATTGTGTTAATATTTAATTGGAACAGTTAATTGAATGTAAGTCGGCTTATTTCTTTTTTTTTCTTTTTTTAAGTTTTCGAAAACAGTTTTCTGTTGAATTATGCCAACAGGGGAGAAACATAAACACCGAGAAATGGAATTCGACAAAGCAAGAAAATGTAAACTTCATTTCGTGAAACTGCGTTCCGAAACATCAAGCTTGCTCTTCAATTTCTTTGATATTAATTATCTTGAGTTTTTTTTTTCAATTTAACCAGTTTTAAAATTCAACCCAGTTTTCCAATTTTTACACAGTTTTGCTTCTACTTCAACGATATGACACCTTTCGAAGAAAAATGATTCTTTCACATTTACCTCAAACTTGAGAAATTTTGTTAGTCGTAGAAGAAAAACTCGAGTTGGAGGATTGTTAAAAAATGGCTCTTGTAACTTGCAAGTTTATTATAATGTGACTTTATCTCAAGATCACTTCTATCCATTAAATGGACATTCTTCTGGCGAATAACTCTCGTCAGACACACGGAACGTCTGAAAAATCCCTGTCAGCCACGAACTCGTAATTCACGCGGTTGTCGCGGAAATTGTTATTTATTTTCGCCGCGGCGCAGTCGCGGCCCCCGTCGCTGAATGAATTATTCGAGCGTGCACGCGGTCACAAAGGCGCGTAGGAAAATTTCGGATTGCGCAACGAACGAGCAAAGAAAATCTAACCACTTCGGAACCAACCTGATCGACTTTGCCTTCTGTAAAAATCCTCCACTTTTACAAACGTTGAAATATACGATCAGTGTTTCAACATATTCACTGCGTACAATGCGTGTTTCTACGTGCAAACCTACAACACCGATTTCAATCAAAAGTGACTGAAAATTTTGAAAATGAAATTTTAATGATAACTTATGTCAAACGCGTGTACGAAGTTTTAAGATAAAGAAACACGCACTGAAAATTATTTGTTATTCGCTAGAATGTATATAAATATTTTTATGAGAACGAGTAACAAATAAAAATAGAACCAAAGCAGAGATCAATCTGTAGAGATTTCATTTAGTAAATATTCCGACGAACATTCTAGTTCGACACTTTGTAAGTTTCTTGCGTCTTCAAGTTCTTCACAAATGTCGAAAAATCTGGCGATCAATTCACAACGAACGGACGAATTTTTTCGAAAGCTAACTTTACGCTAAATTTCTAGCCGACTAGTTTGACGCTGGCCACTCGTAGATAGCATCGCTGCGAAAACGGCGTGCCATTCTCGTTTTGTGTTTCGCGCGATAATATAATCGTGTCGCTCTAAGTAGATTGGGACGTTTAACACACAGCGTCTCTTGCACGATACACTTCAATCGACCACTGGTTCTTCGGTAAACAAGACACTTAACTTGTGTTTCTTTCAACAGTGTTTTACATTATGAAAGTTTCGAGAAATACACGTCGAATTGAATGAATAATAATTAATATTAATGATAATGCAGGATAATTATGAGTGACATGTTGAAGAAAATCGAACAATATAAAATTTTTGCAGAGGTAAATGTCGTTAGTAGAACATTAGAAATTAACAGTTTAATATAGAGAAAAAAAATTATAAGATGTAAAGAACTGAAGTTTATTTACATTCAATTTCTCGTATTTGAAAAATGAAATCTGGCTCAATTCGCGGGAGTGCTCGGAAAAGAAAGCGATGAAATACTTCGGTGTTAATTTTGCGGACGACAGAGTAGTAACTTAGTTTGAAGAAAAATTCTGTGGAACTTTTGACGGAATTTAATGACAGATATCACAGACACGTTCGTGCGTCATTATGTCTGCTGCTATATCATTGTACCATAAATAGTACAACTAAAAGACTATAAAGATATGTCATAGCGTTAATAAAATTTGAAATGACGAAAAATAAACGAAACGTTCGAACGACTTTCATTATTTTCATTTGATCAACTTGCGTCACAGTGTCTTAAACTCCCGGTGTTCTCCGTTCTTTTTTTTTTTTTTTTTCACTAAAATATTTCCGATTTATTAAGTGACGACACGACCATATAACTTAAAAGAGGTCGGAGATTGATTTCCAAGAAAGTGTCTGCGAGTACAAGTTAATCGAAACGAGAAGAAACGGAAATAATGGTGGTCGTCTCGGACGTCTCGTTTGGAATGCTTTTTATTCGATTAAAACTCAATTTCGGTGAAATTAGTAAAGGATGAGAACGAAGAAAGGGGAAAAGGAGAGACAGACAGAGAGAGAGAGAGAGAGAGAGAGAGAGAGAGAGAGAGAGCAAGGGAAGGAGGATTGGTAAGCGATGGCGTGCGTTTTACATCCAGCTCGTTTCGTCGGCGTAGCCACGAGTAAATGCATCGGTTCAATTAGCGGCCATCGCGGTGACACGGAACAATCAATTACGTTTGTTTACAAGGTGTACCCGTTAACGATGCAGCCATTCAACAGTCGTTTAAAACGGAATTAACATTCCTCGAAGATGAACGCCGGTTTCGCTGATCGTACATTGCTCGACATCGTTCGAGCTATCGCGCGATGGAAAACGAACGTCGCCGCTGAAAATCACGAGCATCCCACCGCGTTCCCGCCGCGTCGTTTAATTCTTCGCGTGTTTCCCTCCGCAAGCAAAGCAATAAATATAAGGAAGACGAGAAAGTCCGACCAACTGGCGCTTCTACGTAGAATTCTTCCGAAAAGCACGGTCAACCGAGAAATATGAAGAACCGATTAAAAATCTTCGATCGAAAAAGTATTAAACGAATTTCTAAATCAAAACTGAATCGAAACAATTTAACAATACTTGTTAGATTAAAAATCTGAATCAAGATCGACGGGAAATAAGAAAGACGGAGTTGGGAATTTTTCTTCCCACTTAAATGCTATTTTTAAGGATTTCAGACTAGTCGCAGATTCAAACTCTTATATATATATATTCATTGTCATTTCTTTTTCTGAAAGAAACTTAACAGATACGATATCTGTACATGTGCCGCTCCGAGATTAATTTAGATTATATTTAGATTCAGATGGAACCAAAGAAAAATCTCAGTTTAAACTGTGTCTAAACAGTCTAAAAAGTTTCAAAACGATGGCAAGCCGTTCGAGAGAAAAATGTACAGCCTTTTAACCGATGAAAATCTGCAACCCTCTTGGGGGAAATCAATTAACGAAGCAAGGGCGCGATTCGGGTTCGCGTGCTGCGATCCATTACACCGGTGACACCCGAAAAATTCACGAGCTTCGCGGCGATCTGTCAAACGGTGGTTCGTGTACGCACGCAGACCTGTCGTCGGGACGGGGTTTTTTCTTTTTTTCTGTCGACGACAATCTACAACGCGTCGTCGCGAATCCCGTCGTGAAACCCGTCCCGCCACTAGCTCGAGCAATATTCCAATTACGGAATCGCCGACAATAAAATCGTCGGATCGAATTATCCAGCTAGGATTTGTTTCCATTAACAGCTACAACCGGGCACCGAGAGAATCGCCGTCGACACCGGCTTCCTTATCCCTTGCGACGCGAGGTTTCAATTAGCCTACCATGCCTGAGACTGTAGAATCTCAAGGATACTTCGAGTGATCATTGAACGTCGATCGATCGTGTTTTTGAACAAAAGTCATCATACTAAAGGAAATTTATCGGAGTAATCGCCGAATTGGAAGCTTGGAATTATCAGATTACGTGTTCGAAGCGAATTTAGCGAACGAGTAAAGTATATTACAAGACACAGAGAACGCGACAACAATTGCGAAAGTAATTGAAAATTGGGAGAGAAGAGTTTGCTACGTCTGTCAGAAACGTAACAACTGCAGGATTTAGTTGACTCGAAAGCTGCCAGAGAACCCTAACTTTGCGAGATTCTAAAAAAAGCCGTGCTCGAAGTGCAAGTAGCAAGTTGCGAGAGTGCAGTCTCGGGTGGAGATCAAAGGGTCGAGGCAAGGATCATCATCCACAGATCATCGAGGCCAGCGTGACAAAGGACCGAGAGCCCCTCTCGACGGTTTCGTGGTGCGTGCACGGCCAATAAGCAAAGAACAGAGGGAACAGAGGGATGACACTCACCCAGTGCATGCCGGTGGTAGGAGGGGCGCGCTCCTCATACACTCCCATCAGGGTGGCTGCTGTCGCGGGGTAGTTCCCGCCGAGGGTGCGCGACGCCGAAGCTGCTTGGGGGGGAGTCCCGGGGGATCCGCTTGCCGATAACGCGGAGATGGCGTCCGCTGCGCAGGTTCTCTTTCTTTGCGTCCTCTTCTTCTTCCTCCACCACCGTTCAAGCTTGCTTCACCCTCTGGTTGAACTTAGTTCGGCAATTTTTTTCCCGCACTCAAGAACGTCACTAGCAACTCCGCTCTAACGACTTTCTTCCTCTTTCTCTCTCTCTCTCTCTCTCTCTCTCTCTCTCTCTCTTTTTGCCTAGACTTTATCAGAATATAGGAATGTCCCAATCGAAATAAATGATTGTCGTATAGTAAGGGGTTGACGCGCGCCCTCACGGGCACATCTGGCTGAAAAAAGAAATCACTCCGAGATCTAGCAACTCTAGTTTTCTGCTCTCTTAAATACAAAGATACAATGCAACAGTAGAGCAGTCACATTGACCCCGGATTGAAGAAAGTACACCCCTCACTGATACATAATCACTGCGGGACGAAACGGGCAGTTGTTGTTCATTGATGCGACGACTCGGGGCGACGGGGCACAGTTCTCGAACCTTGTCGCCAAATTTCTCGTTCCATATCGAGGAGTCGGATCGATCACAGTGCACTAGGATAGTCGGAGAAACGGCGCGACGAAGCAACACCCGGCTAGTCCGCGCACCTGCACTCGAATACTACCACTGTCCTGGTGTCCTTGGAGCATCGACAACGACAAGGATCGATCTCAGTTCGTGCTTCCTCGATGGGACGACCGGACACGCGTCAGACCCGCTTCATGGCGCATGTGCACCCGTGTCTAATACCCGTGAAACGGCGAGATCCGACGATGACGACGTCGACACGCCGAGAGGAACGACGCTAGGAAACGAGGTACGCGCGAGCACGCTGCACCACGGTTATGCAGGGCCCGTCTGCCAAGCCGAAGCCACGATGCGGAGTGAGGGAACCGGCACGGCTACAACTGGTTCCAGCCAGAACTAGCGCCGCATCGCGGTGGAACTGTGAAAACCCTGTGGTCACAAGGTGGGGCGGACACGGTTCCACGAAGGCCCGCCCATTGGCACCCTCTCCCAGATCGCTGGTGGAACAAGCCACTCCCCAACACGAAACCCGATACTCTTGTTCCTTGTCTGTTCCGCGACCCTGTCTGGTCAGCGCTTGTCTCGAACACCGTAACTACTTTGCTCCACGCCGCTGCTCCGGAGAACCGTCTGCGCGAGAGAACCAGCGAGACTTTGCTGCGGCAACACTACAGTGGCGTAGCCTGCTACATATATATGTATGTATGTATGTATGTATATATATGTATACACGCACGCGGCTTCGTAGAATAGACGCTTTAAATTGGTGCCTCGGACGGCTGCGTTCTTTGCCGTTTTGTTATGTCACCGCGGAAATGAATGTATCGGGCATGTAGAAATGGTAATGCTGAACGTTCGTTGGCGATCGAACGATTATTTCTCCAGAGAGATACCAGCGTTCGACCGCGAAGAATCACAATCTCGAGCAGATATATCCCACTATTTCATTGATTTTAATAACTTCTTCCAAGTTGTTGGAGTAACGTGGAAAAAAGTAAAGTTTCTACCGTCCAACGAGTCCATCAACGCGAAAGCGATCAGTTGTTTTTAACATCTGCGATAATACGAAACCATTTGCACTGAAACTCGAGTGACGCGATCATGTCATCGGTTGCTAAGCTCTAAAAATCACATGACACCGTAATCACGAAAATCAGCGTTGACTGAAAGGGAAATGAACAAGATCAGAGCCTCAAGAGCATTTCGAACAACCAAAAACTCCCGACACCTCGTTTTCACGTCAAAATTGAAAGTCGGCTGTCCGCGTTGAGCCATTACCCTCCTTTTTGCGCGCATTTTACGAGAAAGAACGGTGCCATAACTGTTCATCCAACGATCTACTCAACCATCTGACACTTGCATGAACAACCAATTTGCACGTTGCTCCGCGTCACGCGACGCATTTAATCGCGATTGTCGTTTAACAGCGTCGTTTTGTTCGCCACGAGTACGCATCGCCATAAAAGGAGGCGTTTTTGGAAAAGAAGTAGCCGGTTGCATCCGGCTTTCTATAATCTTCGGAAGGTTCGGCTTCTCTTTTTCTTCTTTAGTTCGCTCTTTGGAAAGTCGATTCGCTGGAACACTGGCGGCCTTCGTCTTTTTTGCCATGCATTCGACCGATGCCTTTTCTACACGACATTGTTCGCCATTCTATCCCCCACTTGGAACGTTTTTGGTCAGTATTTTCTTGTCATTGCGCAACAATCGTCCGCGCTAAATATATCGAAATCGTACACTGAACGATGAAACGTAGTTTCTTTCGTTTCTTTCATTTGATTAACCTTTTTAGAGTTAGAACACGAAACATATTTTAATTGTTTAGTTCATATAAATGTTTAACATTATTTAAAAAGAAATTCTCGTACGTAGATTAAACATTATGTTCTAGTAGAAAGCAAAAGAAACCGTGAAAGTTCTGCGATTATGAATGTCTTGGACTTCACCTTCGGCCACAAACCGGAAGTAGAAGTATCACTACGTGACAGCATAATCCCAGATTATGAGAGATACACTTTATGGTTGCTGTTAACCTTGATACTAGAACTACTTACTTGTAACGTTTATCTTACCAAGTATGCATGTGCAAATAATTTTTAATAATTTTGTTTTAAATTCTGTGTGTTCGTCGTCGATACGCTAATCCGAATTCGTAAGAGACGATTCTGGTAGCAGAAGAAATTTATTAAATTTATATTTTATGATTACGTCTTGTTTATTCTGTTTTTTTTTTTTTTTTTTACAAGAAGTCCTAACCGCGAAATTATTGTCTCTCGTTCATTTGTTGTAAATTTCAGTCGTTGATCTTGAGGTCGAAATGATTAAGCTCCCAATATTTGAAAGTAATTAGCTAACGATGACAGATTCATATAAAACAGACTCACGAGACTAAAGAGATGGGGGATTTTCGTGAACTTGAGCAGTCTTCGTCAACTTGCTCGATTTCGTGCATTTCGTGCGATTAGTGCGATCAAATCATCGCGCTGTCGAACTATTGTTGTATTATTAGACTACGACGTTAGTTGATATCATTGTTAATCGAATAATTGGGAAACGAAGAGAGGAATTTAATAAATAGCGTATGATCTATTAGTAATTTTCTAATAAATTGTTTTATTATACGAAGCTCGAACGTACATTTGCACAACCGCTATGCACCTATAATACTGTTATAAGAATTAACTTTAGTATAATTCTAATATCAATAAAACGATGAAAAGAAAGTTCAATTACACAATTTTTACATCTTTTAAAATTTTCGTCATTTTCTCTCAACGATATCCGATTTAAGCCCTCAAATTATACATATTCGTTCAACTTTCGATCTCATCCTCCAGCCGACGCAACATCATCGACTTATGCTACTTCATTTTTTTTTTCCTCCTGCAAGGACTAATCTCCAACGATAGATACGGCGAAATACGATTTGGTTTTCATCGTTTCTCCCGTGGCTCGAGCCCGACTCACGCTTCCTTCCTCCTCGTCGCCGGTGTTGCGCCTCCGTGAAATAACGACAGGTTTCAGCAAAGGCACAGGCCAACACAGAAGCGGTCGGTAGATAGGAGAGAAGAGAGAAAGGGAGAGAAAAAGAAAAGACGACCAGCTGAAACCGAACGACGACCGTCCGTCCGATATTCCGTCATAAAAAGGAACCGGTTTCGTTTTGCAACGTAAACGGAAACCGCTGCTTTCGCCGCAGATAATGTTGTCCAGTGATGGAATTCGCGAATACGTCGCCGATGGCACAGTTTCAAGGATTATCAGCATAATCGAAACGATTAGATAATCTATAGTTAAGCTAAGATAAATAGTTAAAGTTAAAATCTACTAATAGTTCATCGACATACCAGAAGAAACAGTTATCTACATTTGGATCAAAATAGCGTTTCGTGAAATACAAAATACAATCTATTGCCACGTCCAATTTCTATCTATAGGTATTCGCAAGTAAACTACGAATATTCATGTATTTACGGACTCGAGGACTCGTTATTGCGCTGGTGCGCGTTTCGAGTACCGCAAGTCTCGATAATAATTTATTGGAAGTATACAATCTTTTCTTTTTATCTTTTATTTACATCTAATGGATCACTCACAGAATAATAACAGTCATTCGCAAAATCGGATGCAGAATCCAAGTGTCTCTGCCCGCGAGCCTGTTTTATATGAATTGGTTAACCAGCTCGTTTCGAATTATCCGAAAGTTAATTGACTCGTGAGATTAAACGTCGATCGTTTCTCAAAAACAGACTCGCAGGTTAGCGACCGATTTTGACAACAAGCGCATAGGTGACTTGTCAAAACTGACAATGTAGCCATGAGTCCGAATAATCTAGAAAACGTTTAGCGTGCTGAGTCACTAGCGGGTGATAAAATGAACATGATCTGTATAATATAAAGATATATAGTAAGATTGAAAATTCTTGCTGCTAAAGTCCAACAAAAGAGACTAGCGTCTGTGAAATTTTAATAGAACCGGCTAATGAGACATTTTTCGCGGAAACGAGTGGTCAGCAGCCAGCTTGAAGCATGAGCGTTCTTTAAACAACTCGTTAAACCTTGTAAGTCAACGAGTCGTGAAAATTCAGCTTGCAAAGGCTTGCAAAAATTGAGAAACAGACGCGAGATCTACGATTATTACGATCACTCGTGGTTGCAAACTCTGCATCGCTTCTTGCGCGTTCTCTCACGCAACATACAAATCTGAGGCCATGTTTAACAGCATAAAGAAACAGTTGGCGACTATTGGAAACTCTCTGAGAAAACTTCTGGTCGCGACAGAGAGAGCCGTCGGAGGAACGCGGAATACAGGGAAGGAAAAGAGAGATGGTCGATCGAAGGGAAGGAAAGAAGAAAGGAAAAAAGAAAAATAGAAACGTAGAAAGGGAGAAAAGAAAGAAGAGAGAATAGGTGAGAAGAGGAGGGACGCTGTTAACTTGACGCGTGAGCACTAAACACGCAGTGACGGTACAATGAAGAGCGGCGCCCCGTGGAGAATGGGGCCCCGCCTGTTGAGAACCCCCCGTGAATGGGACTCGACGAGACCCACGAAAGCCCCCATAGAAGCTTACGGAAACCTTGCGATTCGGAGGTTTCGTGCCGTGAAACCGCTTATACCTTCGGGATCAACGTAACCGGATGAACTGTTAAAATTTGTGTTCGTTCATTGATAGGTTCACAATACTCGTCTCCACCGAGCGTTGGAAACGCGTCCGGGGATGAAATCCCCTACCGGTTTATTTGTTACGCTCGCGAATAAATTGACCGATCACCGGGCGGTGGCTCATGCTAAAACGTAATGGTGTTATTGATATTCTACGTTTGCTAATGAACGAATGTAACTATTCGTTTAGGAATGGAGGGTTAGCGTTCGTCTGTGTAACGACGATCGTTATTTCGTGGCCTCGGAGCTCTGTTATTCTTTTCTTTTTCTATGCTATTCTTCTTTCTGTGTATGTAATATAATATTTACGCCAGACTTGTAAATTTATACGTGTAAAAAGAATTTGTCATTATTGTTGGACTATCGATATTTGGGAATATAAAAATGTATAAGGATGTAAAAGGGTGAGGGGGGGGGGGGCGGGGGGGAGAAAAAGAGATATGAAAGGTAAAGTATATTTCATTCAACAAAAAGTAAATTTCATGCAAGTTTCAATTTTTTACACACGTCTCTAAAAAAAAGCGGAATTTGTACGAACATGATGCAGTCTAATTTCGTATAATTTCACATTTTATACATTTATATATTTCAATGTTTATTGTTACACTGTAACATACTATAGTATAAAAAAAGCAACTTGTGTTTACGATATTATTATTATCGCTGACCAACAGAAGCGCGTTACTGCATTC